GTATATAATACATAAGGGGGGGGATATGATCTCCATGTATAATACATAAGGGGGGATATGATCTCCATGTATAATACATAAGGGGGGATATGATCTCCATGTATAATACATAAGGGGGGGGATATGATCTCCATGTATAATACATAAGGGGGATATGATCTCTCATGTATAATACATAAGGGGGGGGATATGATCTCCATGTATAATACATAAGGGGGGTATGATCTCCATGTATAATACATAAGGGGGGATATGATCTCCATGTATAATACATAAGGGGGGATATGATCTCCATGTATAAATACATAAGGGGGGATATGATCACCATGTATAATACATATAGGGGGGGATATGATCTCCATGTATAATACATAAGGGGGGGGGGATATGATCTCCATGTATGAATACATAAGGGGGGATATGATCTCCCATGTATAATACATAAGGGGGATATGATCTCCATGTATAATACATAAGGGGGGGGATTGATGTTATCCATGTATAATACATAATGGGGGATATATGATCTCCATATATAATACATAAGGGGGGGATATGATCACCATGTTAATACATAAGGGGGATATGATCTCCATGTATAATACATAAGGGGGGGAATATGATCTCCATGTATAATACATTAAGGGGGGATATGAGCTCCATGGATATGATCTCCATGTATAAAATACATCAGTGGTTTCATATAGTGAACTCGGTGTAGAGTTATTCCCCTGAGGTCATCAAGAGGACAAGGGGGCACTCTTTACATCTGGAGGAAAAGAAATGTAATCTCCAGATGACATAAAGGTTTCTTCACAGTGAGAGCTGTGAAAATGTGGAATAGACTCCGCAAGAGTTGGTTCTGGCCAGCTCAGTGGATTTGCTTTAAAAAAGTCCTGGGATTTTTTCCTAGATAACACAGAATATAACTGGATACTAACATTTATAGGTAAAGTTGTTCCCCCCACTATAATGTACAGCGCTGAGCAAACCTTTTGGCGCTATAATAATGCTGTATAATAATAAGGGGAAATTATCGATAAAATCTCCATCTTTTTTTCCATTTTAAATACCATTATACCAGGGGAATAATATATATTTCCCAAGAAATAAGGTTATGTCCTCTCGTTAGATCCAGGCAGGAATTCTAATTTTTTTGATTTTACCCTGCAGGTTCAAATTGGTTCATTTTGTTACGCTTTTGCTGGGTGTTTTTTTTGCCCATTCCTTGGATCAACTGTGGGTATAGGAGGATTTTATACATGATTTTTTTGAGAGGTTTGAACTGAGGGACTTTTGTCTTTTTTCAGCCAGACTAACTATGTAACTACAAAAGATGGCCGCTACACATTGTATAAACTTGCCTAATTCTGGAATCAGACTGTGGATGTAGGATTATTTTTTTACTTTTTTTTTGGTTGAACTGAATGGACTTTTGTCTTTTTTCAGCCATAGTGAGAAAAGACTGATAGATAACTAACTAAAAAGAACCGCTGCACCCTTGTTCTTATCTGGAATCAACCCAATGGGTGGAGGCAGGATTTTTTTTTTAGGGGATTAATTTTTTTTTTTTTTGGTTGAACTGAATGGACTTTTGTCTTTTTTCAGCCAGGCTAACTCTGTAACTACAAAAGAGATGGCCGCCTGCCCCAATCTTGCCATCCTTTTTTCTGGATCAATTGGTGGGTTGTAGATTTTTTTTTTAACAACCTGGATGGATGGACTTTTGTTTTTTTTTTCAGCCAGGCTAACTCTGTAACTACAAAAGATGGCCGCTGATGCCCAATCTTGACTTCTTCTGGATCAACTGTGGGTGTAGGATTTTTTTTTAACTTTTTTTTTTTTGGTTGAACTGGATGGACTTTTGTCTTTTTTCAGCCAGACTAACTATGTACTATGTAACATTGCAACACACAGTACAAAAAAGAAGGGCTTATGTGCAATTTTCGGCACATTAGGGTCCCCTACCAGCCCACTCATTTTAAATAGGCTGCCTTGATGCAACACACGTAAACACACCGCATAAAACGCATCGCAGAGAACTAAATGAGCCCTCAGCATTTCTCTGGATTCATTGGTCCTACGGAGACTCATTTGTGCTGCAGGCAAAGTGTATAAAATGAAGCCTTTTGCATGTTGGTTTAAGCAGGGGGGCGTCTGAATACACAAGTCAGCGTCTGACAACAACGCATGTTTACATGGCTCTATGCTTTCCTAGTTGTGGATCCCTCAGAATAATAATGATCCGATATTACTTACAGTTCTAGCCCTACATCGCCTGGTTGTGGCCATTGGCACACAAGTATGATGGATGTTTAATCAGCATCGGGGTATCTGAAGCACAAAGCGCGTGTCGGGCTCATTCCTTCCTCGGCCAGCCTCGGCTCCCCTTTGAAAATCCTCTAATTAGACGCAGCTTTGATCTTGCTGGTTATAGGAGTAAAACAAACACTTGTAATTCCCCAGCACATGAAAGCGCAGGCTGGCCCCCTATTCACAGCCTGCGATGGATATGTGATGGAAACACCATTATTAGCACGTTTGTTCCACCGATTCCGATGATACTTTGTTTTAACTGGTTTCTTTGTAGCAGGCAGAGGTTTTCTTCCTTCATACTTTACTAAACCAGCTGTCATCTTTAGGGCCCATTCACATATGTCCATTGTAGATTGTAAGCTCCAAGATCAGGGCCCTCCTAACCAGGGGCGGACTGACCATTTGGAAACTCGGGCATTGCCCGAGGGCTCGGGGTCAGTAGGGGGCCCCATGAGATGCCCCTGGTACCTTTTTCAAAAGCTTTTTTGAGTTTAGGGCAAGGACACAGGGGCCCCATGATCCCCTATTGCCCGGGGCCCCATGAGTTGTCAGTCCGCCCCTGCTCCTAACCCTCTTGTTTTGAACTGTGTTGTTGCTGTATTGTCCCCGTTATGTTGTAAAGCGCTGAGCAAACTGTTGGCGCTATATTAATCCTGTATAATAATAATAATAATAATAGCAAAGCATGCTAAAACGCACGCAGTAATGTGTGTTGCCCCAAGCAGGGCCAGTGCCTCCATTAGGCAAACTAGGTGACTGCCTAGGGCGCACTGCCACTTAGGGGCACCTGGTACAGCACAGGCTGGCACTCTCTCTGTGTGGGTTGCCGCCATGTCATAAATGATCCTCCAGCTGCTGAGGGGAGGGGTGGCAAAGGGGAGGAAAATGCCAGGTGTCTGGGGCCAGTGAAGCAGCTGAGCTGCTGCTCCTTCCAGTGTTCCTCTCAGACTCAGTCCCTTACTGCAAGCCGGCTGGCGGCTGCTGATAACTATGGAATTCCAGCCCGTCTCTTCCCATTCATCAGCGGAGGTGGAGCTGCGCCTGTGGAGGAAGGTAATGTCTGACTCTGATGTCTCGTGTCTGTGTGAGTGTGACCCGGCCGACCATCCATCACATGTGCTATGTGTCAGGGAGTGATGACATCATCACGATCCCGCAGCCTGCTCTTCTAGTGCCTTCTGGGCCTGCTGATCTGTGTTAGTGTTGGTGTGTTGTGTTGGATCTGTCACTGTGTGGGATCGCTCAGTTCAGGTGTTCTCTGTGTGTGTGTGACTGGGTTGCCTGCTGTCACAGTGTTTTACCTCCCCCATTGCCTGGGGAATTCTATCCTGGGATGTGTCAGAGTGTGGATCCATCATCCTCAACTCACTGCAACTGCCACCCTGCCACTGCCAGCCACAGATACAGTCCGTCCGTGACACTGATTTTGTATTTAATATTGGTGCTGGTGGCATCTTATGGCACTTATTTTTGCAAATTAAACACAATTTAGCAGCCTCATGTTTTGTTGATTTATTTTCTTCTTTTTAAAAAAAATCTTTTATTTTTTTTTTTATTTGGGGGGGGGGGGGGTGGGCACAAGTAGCTTGGTCTTGCCTAGGGTGCGAAATTGTCTAGGGCCCTGGCCCCAAAGCATGGCATCCCAATTCAGTGTACAGTAGTGCCGAAAACACTATGCACCGTAGTGCAGCCCCGTGTGCTGTGATGAGCTACACTTTGAAAAATGGGTCATGAGTGTTTTTTCATTCCTTATGGTATATTGTATATTGACTGGGCTGCCTTAATACAACATATATTAAGTCTAGGTTCACACCTATGCAGTTTACGTTTCTCCCCGTGCCTGCATTGCGTTTTTGCTGTATTTTTGATGCATTTTGCATTTTTTTATTTTTATTGTTGCTATGTAGATTTAAAACAAAACACATCAAAAATGGCAAAAATTCTGCATATTCTTTTCTGCAGCGTTTCCATTGTAGTCTATAGAACCAAAAACGCAACTTTTTGCGTCCAAAAAACGCACCGGGTGAAAATGTGGAGATGTGAACCTGTCCCATTGGAAATCATGTTAAATGGACTGCTGTGCGTTTCTGCAAAATGCTGCAGAAAACGCTTAGGTGTGAATCTGGGGTAACACATGCCATGACGTATGGTACCCTTTTTTACGAACATAAATACACACATCGTGGCACCTATGCATGAAAACATTGATTGTGTTACATATTCTCAGGGCTTTTCTGCAGCCGAAATGCAGGACCGGCACCTCCAGCACTGAATATATGTAATGGCAAGGGAGGCTGGAGGGTCTACTGATGCTGGCTTCTGGGGGATCTATTGTCACTGGAGGGGATTTATTTTTTCATGGTGGTCTATTGTTGCCAGGGGGGTTCAATTGTTGCCGAAAGGGATCTACTGTTGATGGAGCGGTCTATTGTTGCTTGATGATAGGAGATCTATTGTTGCTGGGGTGGGATTTTGTTGTGGGGGTTGGGGTGGGATCTGTTGTTGCTGGGGAATCTATTATAACTGGGGGGGGCGGGGTATTTTTTGCTGGTTAGAGGGGATCTTATTTACTGTTTTACTTGTTCTCATACAAAAAATATTATTAGCTCTGTATTCTCTAAAAGGTGTGGTACTGGGAGGTGGGTAGGGGGTGGAACCAAGGGACGGTGCTCGGAGGTGGGTAGGGGGTAGAACCAAGGGACGGTGCTCGGAGGTGGGTGGTGGGTAGGGGGTGGAACCAAGGGACGATGCTCGGAGGTGGGTAGGGGGTAGAACCAAGGGACGGTGCTCGGAGGTGGGTTGTGGGTAGGGGGTGGAACCAAGGGACAGTGCTCGGAGGTGGGTGGTGGGTAGGGGGTGGAACCAAGGGACGGTGCTCGGAGGTGGGTAGGGGGTAGAACCAAGGGACGGTGCTTGGAGGTGGGTGGTGGGTAGGGGGTGGAACCAAGGGACGGTGCTCAGAGGTGGGTGGTGGGTAGGGGGTGGAACCAAGGGACGGTGCTCGGAGGTGGGTAGGGGGTGGAACCAAGGGACAGTGCTCGGAGGTGGGTAGGGGGTGGAACCAAGGGACGGTGCTCGAAGGTGGGTAGGGGGTGGAACCAAGGGACGGTGCTTGGAGGTGGGTAGGGGGTAGAACCAAGGGACGGTGCTCAGAGGTGGGTGGTGGGTAGGGGGAGGAACCAAGGGACGGTGCTCAGAGGTGGGTAGGGAGTAGAACCAAGGGACGGTGCTCAAGGTGGGTAGGGGGTGGAACCAAGGGACGGTGCTCGGAGGTGGGTAGGGGGTGGAACCAAGGGACGGTGCTTGAAGGTGGGTAGGGGGTAGAACCAAGGGACGGTGCTCGGAGGTGGGTAGGGGGTGAAATCAAGGGACGGTGCTCGGAGGTGGGTAGGGGGTGGAACCAAGGGACAGTGCTTGGAGGTGGGTAGGGGGTGGAACCAAGGGACAGTGCTTGGAGGTGGAGAGGGGGTTGGAAACAAGGGGTGACTCAGAAGGGGGGAGTTCCTGCACATATTCTCTGAGAAAAAAAGCCCTAAATATTCTACATATGCGCAGCAAGGTGAGTGCAATCACTCTGGGCTCATTATTCACATTGAACTCTGAAACTGATGACCTGTAAGGACTTTTAAAGCTTCCCCTGTGGAAAATGGAGGGTACCAACGCTTCTTACAGTTTGCTAACACTAGTTGTTGGCCTTCAGAAGAGTGCAGTATTGACACTGGGGCATATGTTTCCATCCAGTGACACCATCAAGGCAGGGGCATTTTTCCTTCCAGTGACTTCACTGATACAGTGGCATTTTTTCCTTCCAGCGACACCATCAACGCAGGGGCATTTTTCCTTCCAGTGACATCACTGATCCAGGGGCATTTTTTTCTTCCATTGACACCACCAACACAGGGGCATTTTTTCCTTTCAGTGACACCATTGATGCTGTGCCATTTTTTTAAGTTTAGTGCCATTTTCAATGCTGGGACAATTTTGCTTCCAGTGACACCCCTGATGCTGAGATCCATTTTTCTTCCAGTGACACCACTGATGCGGGGGCATTTTTTTCTTAGCCCAATATTTGTGCTCCAATTTTCTTCCCTTTCGCTGCTGTGTACCACAACTATTGGTACTATTTCAGTGCATGTTACACATGTGTGTTTCAATTCAATTCAGTTTGCTTTTCAGACAAAAATTGCTTAGGGAGATTCGGATGTATATGAATCTCTAAATGGACATAGTAACAAATGTCAACGGAGCCAAAGAAAGTTATATCGGAATTAATTAATGCATTTGTTTCATTCAGATGACGTCACATGATGTGATAGTAGTTCAGGTCCATGGGAAAAAAAAATTCATTTTTCAAATTTGTTCGATAATTCAGATTCAGATAACAAATGGATCCAAATTTTATTTCATTTGTTAATTTGGATGCACATGACGCCGGTCAATATTGTCCTATCGGCTCACACCATTTATCTTGGTGGGTTGAACTAGTGTCTGAAAATTTAGAATCTGTCAGTTTCGAATCTGTCTGATTCCATGATATATCAAATATTTTGTAATCTTCAACAAAAACTGCTAAATTTTTCTAATCTAACTAAACCAACGAATATACGAAACAAATGCAGAAGCTATGGGGCAGCATGGTGGCTAAATGGTTAGCACTTCCACCTGGCAGTACTAAGGTCCTTGGTTCAAATCCCAACCATGGCACCATCTGCCTGGAGTTTGCATGTTTTCCCTGTGCCTGCGTGGGTTTCCTCCAGATACTCCGGTTTCCTCTCACACTCCAAAGACATGCTGGTAGGTTAATTGGCTTCTGTCTAAATTGGCCCTAGTATGTGAATGTGAGTTAGGGACCTTAGATTGTACACCCCTTGAGGGTTAGGGACTGATGTGAATGTACAATATATATATGTAAAGTGCTGCATAAATTGATGGTGCTATATAAGTACCTGTAATACATAAATAAGAAAATTTAGATTGTAAGCTCCACGAGCAAGGCCCTCATATTCCTTCTGTACTGAAATGCATTGTAATTGTACTGTCTCCCTTATATTGTAAAGCACAGAGCAAACTATTGGCGCTATATAAATCCTGTATAATAATAATAATAATAATAAATAGATACAAAATGAATTTGAAAAACAAATCTGTTCAACATAACAAATATGAGGACACAAAATTCTTTAATGACTACCGCATTTAAATCCACCTACAAATCCTCTCACTGCAACTCACATTGGGAATTCTACTTGAAAATACTTCATCAGTGGTACCCAGGGGTGGACTGACAACTCATGGGGCCCCCGGCAATAGGCGATCATGGGGCCCCTGTGTCCTTGCCCAAACTCAAAAAAGCCTATGAAAAAGGTACCAAGGGACATCTCATGGGGCCCCCTACTGACCCCAGGCCCTCGGGCAGCGCCCCGAGTTTCCAAATGGTCAGTCCGCCCTGGTGGTACCTAACCCCTACCAAACTAGCCATTTTCTACCCAAATCATCCCCCTTCTTGCTGGCGACAATGCGGGGACATAGGCTCCACTCTTCACATATTATGGTCCTGCAAATCTATTAAATCTTTCTGGAATAGTATATTCCAACTAATAATTGAAGTTTCCAAAATAACGACAACTCCTAATCCGGCACTTGCACTCTTACACATCCGGATTAACAATTTCCCTTGTACCTCCCGTACAATCACTGTCCACATACTTTCTACAGCTAAACTAAATATAACCTGATTATGGAATACAACTGCTGCTCCTTCCCTTCAATCGCTAATTTCAGATCTCAACTTCCAATGCGAAATGGAAAAAAGACTGGCCACCAATAACTCCACCCAACATACGTTTAATTCCTTATGGTCTAACTGGTTAAAAAACCCTAACTGCTCCGTAAACCCTGATACCTTACAAACAATCGTCTTACTTATCCACGTCAGACTGGTACTCCTTCCCTATTCTACCACAAGTCCCCCCCCCCCCCTATTATTTTCCCCCTGTTTATTAAGCCCTTACTACTCACTACTCCTCCTCATGGTTCAGTCCACCCCTAGCATACCTCTGATGTCTATGCTGTAACTTTATTTCCAACCCTAGCCAAAAGGTGGGGTAACATCTTAATACAGCTGTATTGTATGCTTACATTTATACTGAACCAAATGTTTTCTCCCTGTTAAATTTTTGAAAAACTATCAATAAAAATTATTGAAATTAAAGAAAAAAAAAAATTATTTAATGAACAAATGGATCTGAAACTAAACAAAATGAAAATGAATAATAACTTTCCATGGAAGAATGGAAGGGATGGCTATCAGAGACAATGGTGGAGCAGAGCGATACAAGGGGGGGTTAACCAGTAACTTGGTATTGTCTTCTGCTGTATGATGGGAGGGGTCTCCAGCTGGGCTGTTAGGAAATAGGAAACTGGGAGCAGTTAGTGTAGGGGATGTAGGATTGTCACTGGGAGTCCTTGGGATGTGAACTGCCTGAGAAGAGGACGTTGAAGGTTTACAGAGGACACTGTGCCAGGAACAGTCATGTCACCGTATTGGGGGGTTTTCCTGGTGATCACAGTTTGTGGAGCCGATACTGAACCGCTGCAAGGTAAGCTTGGTGGTCAACCCAATACTTTTCATAAGAATTGCAAGCCTATAGGCTGATGGGGCATGAAGTGCTTCACAACATCTGCCTACACCTAATCTAGACCAGTCTTTCTCAATCTTTTTAACATGGAGGAACCCTTGAAATAACTTTCTGGTCTCAGGGAACCCCTGCCAATAATGACTAAATCTACAGCTCAGACTACATTAGTGTGATGTTCACTGACAAGAATGCTCCCTACATTTGTGGTCATTGGGAAGAATCCCAGTATTTAGATAGATTATTATTATTATACAGGATTTATATATTATTATTATTAATATACAGGATTTATATATTATTATTATTATACAGGATTTATATAGCGCCAACAGTTTGCTCAGCACTTTACAATATAACGGGAGACAATACAGCAACAATACAGTTCAATACAAGAGGGAAAGGAGGGCCCTGATCCTTGGAGCTTACAATCTAGGAGATAAATAGATTATTAGTGTCAGTGGTTACTCATCAGTCTCATCAGAAAGGTAAAAAACTGCTCAATTCTCATGGAACTCCTAACTACCTCTGGAGGAACCCTAGAGTTCCATGGAAATCTGCTTGAGAGAGGCTGGTCTTGAGGGTCCTTAGGTGGGAGATTTTGGATGACCGTAGACATTTACAACACAGTTGAGTGATTTTTAATTTTTACCCAAGCCATTATATATGCTACGCCTCTGTATACAGTATATATCTTCAGAAAATGAGAAAGAAGGACACCTCAGAGACAGGGGGGATAAGGTACAGTGAAGGAGGATGTGGCTACTGAGTGCTAAATACTGGGCATGGCTTAAAGGGTCCAAATAACAAGAAAGCACTGGAAATAAGTACTGTGAGCTAGGAGATCATTGCATTGACAGATTGTTACGTAGCTAACATAGGAGTCTGATGAGACAAGGTTGGCCCCTCTTACACCTCCAGTCCAGGGCCCCTTATAGAGTGGACAGGCAGCACAAGGGCAAGAAGTGGAGCAGCTGTGCATGGCAGCCAATCAGCTTCTAACTTCAGCTTGTTCAATTAAGCTTTGACAATAAAACCTGGAAGCTGATTGGTGTCTATGCAGATCTGCACCAGATTTGGCGCCATGAGGTTTTAGTAAATAAACTCCAACGCTTTCAAGGAGTTGCTGTTGGGCGCTGGAAAGAGGATTCCAGCGCCCAGAAGAAGGACATGTCCTGGATCCACATGAAGCCTGGGTCTTGGTCAAATGGCAGGACAGTGCCACAGGACAGTACCACAGGACACTACCACAGGACACTACCACAGGACAGTACCACAAGGACAGTACCACAGGACACTACCACAGGGCAGTACCACAGGGCAGTACCACAGGGCAGTACCACAGGACAGTACCACAGGACAGTACCACAGGACACTACCACAGGACACTACCACAGGACACTACCACAGGACTGTACCACAGGACAGTAGCACAGGATCTGGGACAGTTGGAAGGTATGATGTGCCCACAGTATGAGTTTTACAGGACAGCATACAGAGTTAAGGAATCGTCCACAGTGTGTGAAGTTCAGGACCAGCGCACAGTATTGGATGTACAGAACATACACAATTAAAGCAGAACTACGCTGTATCTGAGCGCCACAAACCAAAACCGCTGTTTAATTAATTTTTACTATTTAAAGCAAACTTCCCTATCTGTGTCTCCATGCTTTATTTTTCGAGAAAATCACTTTGAAAAACACTGCCTAGCATTTAAGGCTGTGGCCAATATTGAGTAAGGTTCAGATGATTCATGTAGCATTTACTTCCTGAA